GTTTTTAATGGCATTAATTTCAATGAATTTTAACGGGATTAAATTTTTTCTTGCGAGATTAATGCAGCACACATCACAGCGGATGTTACGTTGCTCTATAAATAAACCAGAAACAAAACAACAAGCGCGCTGCATAGGTCCACGCACGCTCGAGACACCGAAAACGGATACTTACAGAGTTTATGAATGGAAAGTTCACTTTTAAAAAGTTTCCAGATTGTTCTACTGACAAGACCAAAGTTACCTGTATGTTTAGCAGTCGTAAAGTGAGCTATCATCATCGGACGTCGAGTCTGAAATACCACTTAATGGCCAAGCACACAGCTGACGTGAGTCCTCCGCCCCCCCTGTCAACATTGTCCACAGCTCGACTCAAGCTGAAATCCTTCGCATTGCATCGAACGACTCCACTACGGATTGCCAGCGAGAGCCTCCATTACAAGCTGTGTACAGAGATTGTACGTAGCGGAGAAGGCTAAGGTACACCAAGCGGGAGAAGACACTGTTTCGGGAGAGAAATAAGAGACTAGGTTGATGAGCCTCTGGTGAATAAAGAGCAGGTAGCCTGTCGAATACGATGTATGCCACTGACGCGATTGTTACTTGTTTGGAACTATTTTGCGTGGAAGGTTACAGTGTTCCGTGTCCATATAAATAAAGCGGGTGGAGCTTCTCTGTGTTCGTCTGACAGTGATGGTGCGCTGTGGCACGGCGAGAGTTCAGCAGTGCAGTGGTAGCGACCTAGCGACCATACTGAAAATAAAAGTCTCCGGTGTTGTCATTGAACCAAGTGTAGTCATCCGAAATGATGTCTACACAAAACCAAAGACAAGCTTCAACGCAAGAAGGACCAACAGAATCAATATAGCCTGACTCCTGTGTTCAAAGCAAACTTGAGAAAAACGAAGTATGCAACCATGGCTTAAATCCACTATAGGCTGAGTACTAGTTTACCTTAGATGTGCACTTTATAATGTTATATTGCTCTGTTTTGATTCCATAAAAAGAGCAGTTAAAGCAGCTGTTGTGTGACAAAATATTTTTTTCACTGTTGTTGATAGACAGTAATATTGTATGAGAGATTATGTATGAATAACTGCTCCAAGTGAAAAATGTTCATGTAAAATTGAAAATCGAAATTGTTATTTCAGTAAATATTTGCATTTTGCACATAGAAAATCGATTCATGATTCCATGTTGATGAGAACATTAAAATGGGGGGAAAAAAAAGATAAAAAATGTGTGCGTAATCCCGATTAATTTTTAGTGAATTTGAGTTAATTTTGACAGTTGCATTTTTAATTAAATATTTTAATCGTTTGACAGCTCTAATATATATATATATATATATATAGCGGCTGGATAGCTCAGTTGGTAAGGCATCGGTTTGGCGTACGGGAGACCTCTTTGAAAAAGTAATTGCCCCCTGAAGCAGGTTGTGCCACCCTTGGCAGCAATAACTGAAATCAAGTGTTTGCGATAATTGGTGATGAGTCTTCCACATCGCTCAGGAGGAAGTTTGTCCCACTCTTCTTTGCAGAATTGTTTCAACTCCGCCATATTTGAGGGTGTTCCAGCATGAACGGCCCATTTAAGGTCACACCACAGCATCTCAATTGGATTTGAATCTGGACTTTGACTTGGCCACTCAAAACCCTTTAATTTTTTTTTTTTTTATGCCATTCAGAGGTGAACTTCCTAGTGTGTTTCAGATCGTTGTTTGGCCGCATGATCCAAGAGCGCTTGAGTTTGAGGGCAAGAACGGCTGGCTAGACGTTCTCCTTCAGGATTTTCTGGTACACAGCAGAATTCATTTTTCATCAAACATTGCATATAGTTCTGGTCCTGAGGCAGCAAAGCAGCTCCGGATCATCACACTGCCACCACCATGCTTCAGTGTTGGCATAATGTTTTTTATCAAATGCTGTGCCATTTTTACCCCAGATGTCACGGGGTGCACATCATTCAAAAAGTTCCATTTTTGACTCGCCAGTCCACAGAATGGCCAAATGGCTTTACAATAAGCCATACACGAACACACAAAAACATTATCTCTCTCTCTCTCTTAGTATATATATATATATATATAAAAGCGGCTGGATAGCTCAGTTGGTAAGGCATCGGTTTGGCGTACGGGAGACCTCTTTGAAAAAGTAATTGCCCCCTGAAGCAGGTTGTGCCACCCTTGGCAGCAATAACTGAAATCAAGGGTTTGCGATAATTGGTGATGAGTCTTCCACATCGCTCAGGAGGAAGTTTGTCCCACTCTTCTTTGCAGAATTGTTTCAACTCCGCCATATTTGAGGGTGTTCCAGCATGAACGGCCCATTTAAGGTCACACCACAGCATCTCAATTGGATTTGAATCTGGACTTTGACTTGGCCACTCAAAACCCTTTAATTTTTTTTTTTTTTATGCCATTCAGAGGTGAACTTCCTAGTGTGTTTCAGATCGTTGTTTGGCCGCATGATCCAAGAGCGCTTGAGTTTGAGGGCAAGAACGGCTGGCTAGACGTTCTCCTTCAGGATTTTCTGGTACACAGCAGAATTCATTTTTCATCAAACATTGCATATAGTTCTGGTCCTGAGGCAGCAAAGCAGCTCCGGATCATCACACTGCCACCACCATGCTTCAGTGTTGGCATAATGTTTTTTATCAAATGCTGTGCCATTTTTACCCCAGATGTCACGGGGTGCACATCATTCAAAAAGTTCCATTTTTGACTCGCCAGTCCACAGAATGGCCAAATGGCTTTACAATAAGCCATACACGAACACACAAAAACATTATCTCTCTCTCTCTCTTAGTATATATATATATATATATAAAAGCGGCTGGATAGCTCAGTTGGTAAGGCATCGGTTTGGCGTACGGGAGACCTCTTTGAAAAAGTAATTGCCCCCTGAAGCAGGTTGTGCCACCCTTGGCAGCAATAACTGAAATCAAGGGTTTGCGATAATTGGTGATGAGTCTTCCACATCGCTCAGGAGGAAGTTTGTCCCACTCTTCTTTGCAGAATTGTTTCAACTCCGCCATATTTGAGGGTGTTCCAGCATGAACGGCCCATTTAAGGTCACACCACAGCATCTCAATTGGATTTGAATCTGGACTTTGACTTGGCCACTCAAAACCCTTTAATTTTTTTTTTTTTTATGCCATTCAGAGGTGAACTTCCTAGTGTGTTTCAGATCGTTGTTTGGCCGCATGATCCAAGAGCGCTTGAGTTTGAGGGCAAGAACGGCTGGCTAGACGTTCTCCTTCAGGATTTTCTGGTACACAGCAGAATTCATTTTTCATCAAACATTGCATATAGTTCTGGTCCTGAGGCAGCAAAGCAGCTCCGGATCATCACACTGCCACCACCATGCTTCAGTGTTGGCATAATGTTTTTTATCAAATGCTGTGCCATTTTTACCCCAGATGTCACGGGGTGCACATCATTCAAAAAGTTCCATTTTTGACTCGCCAGTCCACAGAATGGCCAAATGGCTTTACAATAAGCCATACACGAACACACAAAAACATTATCTCTCTCTCTCTCTTAGTATATATATATATATATATAAAAGCGGCTGGATAGCTCAGTTGGTAAGGCATCGGTTTGGCGTACGGGAGACCTCTTTGAAAAAGTAATTGCCCCCTGAAGCAGGTTGTGCCACCCTTGGCAGCAATAACTGAAATCAAGGGTTTGCGATAATTGGTGATGAGTCTTCCACATCGCTCAGGAGGAAGTTTGTCCCACTCTTCTTTGCAGAATTGTTTCAACTCCGCCATATTTGAGGGTGTTCCAGCATGAACGGCCCATTTAAGGTCACACCACAGCATCTCAATTGGATTTGAATCTGGACTTTGACTTGGCCACTCAAAACCCTTTAATTTTTTTTTTTTTTATGCCATTCAGAGGTGAACTTCCTAGTGTGTTTCAGATCGTTGTTTGGCCGCATGATCCAAGAGCGCTTGAGTTTGAGGGCAAGAACGGCTGGCTAGACGTTCTCCTTCAGGATTTTCTGGTACACAGCAGAATTCATTTTTCATCAAACATTGCATATAGTTCTGGTCCTGAGGCAGCAAAGCAGCTCCGGATCATCACACTGCCACCACCATGCTTCAGTGTTGGCATAATGTTTTTTATCAAATGCTGTGCCATTTTTACCCCAGATGTCACGGGGTGCACATCATTCAAAAAGTTCCATTTTTGACTCGCCAGTCCACAGAATGGCCAAATGGCTTTACAATAAGCCATACACGAACACACAAAAACATTATCTCTCTCTCTCTCTTAGTATATATATATATATATATAAAAGCGGCTGGATAGCTCAGTTGGTAAGGCATCGGTTTGGCGTACGGGAGACCTCTTTGAAAAAGTAATTGCCCCCTGAAGCAGGTTGTGCCACCCTTGGCAGCAATAACTGAAATCAAGGGTTTGCGATAATTGGTGATGAGTCTTCCACATCGCTCAGGAGGAAGTTTGTCCCACTCTTCTTTGCAGAATTGTTTCAACTCCGCCATATTTGAGGGTGTTCCAGCATGAACGGCCCATTTAAGGTCACACCACAGCATCTCAATTGGATTTGAATCTGGACTTTGACTTGGCCACTCAAAACCCTTTAATTTTTTTTTTTTTTATGCCATTCAGAGGTGAACTTCCTAGTGTGTTTCAGATCGTTGTTTGGCCGCATGATCCAAGAGCGCTTGAGTTTGAGGGCAAGAACGGCTGGCTAGACGTTCTCCTTCAGGATTTTCTGGTACACAGCAGAATTCATTTTTCATCAAACATTGCATATAGTTCTGGTCCTGAGGCAGCAAAGCAGCTCCGGATCATCACACTGCCACCACCATGCTTCAGTGTTGGCATAATGTTTTTTATCAAATGCTGTGCCATTTTTACCCCAGATGTCACGGGGTGCACATCATTCAAAAAGTTCCATTTTTGACTCGCCAGTCCACAGAATGGCCAAATGGCTTTACAATAAGCCATACACGAACACACAAAAACATTATCTCTCTCTCTCTCTTAGTATATATATATATATATATAAAAGCGGCTGGATAGCTCAGTTGGTAAGGCATCGGTTTGGCGTACGGGAGACCTCTTTGAAAAAGTAATTGCCCCCTGAAGCAGGTTGTGCCACCCTTGGCAGCAATAACTGAAATCAAGGGTTTGCGATAATTGGTGATGAGTCTTCCACATCGCTCAGGAGGAAGTTTGTCCCACTCTTCTTTGCAGAATTGTTTCAACTCCGCCATATTTGAGGGTGTTCCAGCATGAACGGCCCATTTAAGGTCACACCACAGCATCTCAATTGGATTTGAATCTGGACTTTGACTTGGCCACTCAAAACCCTTTAATTTTTTTTTTTTTTATGCCATTCAGAGGTGAACTTCCTAGTGTGTTTCAGATCGTTGTTTGGCCGCATGATCCAAGAGCGCTTGAGTTTGAGGGCAAGAACGGCTGGCTAGACGTTCTCCTTCAGGATTTTCTGGTACACAGCAGAATTCATTTTTCATCAAACATTGCATATAGTTCTGGTCCTGAGGCAGCAAAGCAGCTCCGGATCATCACACTGCCACCACCATGCTTCAGTGTTGGCATAATGTTTTTTATCAAATGCTGTGCCATTTTTACCCCAGATGTCACGGGGTGCACATTATATATATATATATTTTTTTTTTTTTAATGCCACTCAGTGGCATACATCCTACTCAACAGTCTACCTGCTCTTTATTTACCAGAGGCTCACAACCTAGTCTCTTATTTCTCTCTCGAAACAGTGTCTTCTCCCGCTTGGTGTACCTGAGCCTTCTCCGCTTCGTACAATTCCTGTACGTAGCTTGTAATGGAGGCTCTCGCTGGCAATCCGTAGTGGAGTCGTTAGATGCAATGAGAATGATTTCAGCTTGAGTCGAGCTGTGGACAATGTTGACAGGCTTGCATGCAGTAGCCATACATTTAGCTATGGCTTCAGCAAATTTGTTCTTCATCGTGTTATCCATTTTCTTCGCTTTGAAATGATCCATAGCTGTCTGTCTTAGACGAGGGGGCGGAGTACTCACATCAGCTGTGTGCTTGGCCATTAAGTGGTGTTTTACACACAGACAAGACTGAACTTGGAGTTGAAGCAGAGATAAGTGGCATTTAATGGTGAAGCGCTTTCGGTGGTGGAGAAGAAGAGGATGCAGCAGTGACACATCAGCCACGCCCAGCCAGCGAAAGACAGAAAAACACCAAAGCAAAAACAAAACATAGCCGGGAAAGGAAACAGAACACACACAACACATCACAACACCTTACCAACTAAAACCATGAGAGGGAAAACAGAGACTATTACATAAAATGGTTAAATGGTTCGACAAAATCAAGTCATATCTTAAATTCACATGTCTCTTTCCAGGTCCAGATTAGCTGATTTCATTCAGAATTGCCAGCCATCGCCACAAACAACCAGTGGCTGCCTGAGAGATTCAGTAGGTCTCTGCCTTCAAGCCTATGCGGGACTCATTGGTAAGAGATTTTGAGGGCCGGTGAAGGAGAAGTTCACTGTCAAAGTTAGATGGAATACACTTAGTAGCTCCACATTATACCTCCTTAAAGACAAGCTCTAGATTTGGTTGTGTGTTCTATTCAGGTTGTTGGGTTTTTTTTTGTCTTTGTCTTTTTTTTTTTTCATTTAATCCAGAAAAAAATCGAATTTAGAGTTTTGATAGGCCCAATAAGGTTTTATAAATTAGGAATAATGTCAAAAGCTTAATTAAAAATTGTCACCATAATTTCTGGACAATTGAGCACACCTGAATATCAGACATACCCACTACGTTAAAAAAAAAACATTTGTATGTACATCAGCCGCAGGAGCCCATATTGTAACATTGTAACACATGCAGTGGCAGGCCGTGCATTTCAACCTTAGGCCTTCAGTGACGTCACATACATGAACGCAATACTGTATATGCTCGTCAAGCAGCACTTAATTTCAGCAGCATTTAAAACCATCAAGTATGCATTCACAATTATGAGCAGGAAACTAAATTTACAGATAGTCAAAAATAAAAAGATGATTTAAAAATACGAAATACAATGCCACCCAAATTACGCTGTGTGATCTTAAACAAGTCTGTCCAATACATTGCGCAATGTCGCAGTTTCATTTTAGACGCCAACCAAACAATAACAAAACAAACTATTCTTTGAAAATAAACAGATCATTTGCATTTTGAAAATCGGCGATACAACAATAAATAACTGAAAATGTTGAGCAGCTGAGATTGAACGAACTTTCGTTTTTTTTTTTTTTTAAATCTTTATTGAACAAGTCAGGATACAATTCTCAGGAAACAGAAAAGGCGCTAATCCAATCACCGAACGCGCACGGCCAGTCT